CAATTAAATACTCAAAAATAATAATGGAAAAATATAAGGAAAAAAATATTCGATCTTAACTCTATATAAGAATTAAGGAAACAGTAAAATGATAAAAATGTTTAGATGTCAATAATGTTTAAGAGTGGGTACATATATATATATATATATGTAAATTTTGACATTTAGTTTTCACGAATATTTTATCAGAATTTTATTGAATTTAAGAATTAAATTTTGTCATTTATTTTAAGTTTACAGTAAAAATTTCATTTATTTAAATATTTAACAAAGACTTTGACATTTTAATATTTTCATAAAACATTTTATAATTTAATCATAAGTCATAAAGTAAACGGTATTTAATATTGAAATTAATTGTAATAATCACCATGAAATTGAGTGTAAGTTTATTCCGAAAACATTGTGAAAAATATCGTGGTGAGTATAGGTTATAAGAAAAAATATATAGTGGTGAAAAACTGTTTTTTCAATTTCATCATAAAAATTATAAAATAGATGTTAAATTTGAGACTTACTTTGAAGTGTTCTATGCTAATTAATAGATAAATATATGAATTTTTTAATAATCTTCAAACCTAAAAAATCATAAATTTTTGAGTTAGTACACTTGGGCTGCTGAATACTGATATATCTTAAAATAAAAAATAAAACATAATTTGTTGAAATTTATATAAATTTCAATTGAAAGTAAAAGTTCCGAAAAAAAGAAAATGTGCCCAAGAGGAGTTAATTACCATTGAATTATACGTAAATTATGTGTATCTGTTATAAATATAGTATAATTTACGTATAACTGTTATACAATTTTAATCAATATTGAATTTAAATTCAAATTAGAAAATCGAATAATTTAACATAATTTACGTATAACTGTTATACAACGTTAATCAATATTGAATTAAATTCAAACTAGACAATCGAGTAATTGAACATAATTTATAGATAACTGTTATACAATTTTAATCAATATTGAATTTAAATTCAAATTAGAAAATCGAATAATTTAACATAATTTACGTATAACTGTTATACAACGTTAATCAATATTGAATTAAATTCAAACTAGACAATCGAGTAATTGAACATAATTTATAGATAACTGTTATACAATGTTAATCAATATTGAATTAAAATTCAAATTAGAAAATCGAATAATTTAACATAATTTACGTATAACTGTTATACAATGTTAATCAATATTGAATTAAATTCAAACTAGACAATCGAGTAATTGAACATAATTTATAGATAACTGTTATACAATTTTAATCAATATTGAATTTAAATTCAAATTAGAAAATCGAATAATTTAACATAATTTACGTATAACTGTTATACAATGTTAATCAATATTGAATTAAATTCAAACTAGACAATCGAGTAATTGAACATAATTTATAGATAACTATTATACAATGTTAATCAATATTGAATTTAAATTCAAATTAGAAAATCGAATAACTTAACATAATTTATGCACAACTGTTATACAATGTTAATCAATATTGAATTCAAATTCAAATTAGAAAATCGAATAATTTAACATAATTTCTGTACAACTGTTATACAATGTAGCACCCGTAGAATTAACTCCAACTTAATATTAGTTTTATATATAGAAACGATAAATTTTCAAAATTTTTTTCTAAAATAATAAAAAAACATTCGCCACCATCTTAATATTTTAGAAACAAAAAAATTGATATCCTTTTTTTTTGATAAATTAACTAAAACGCTCCTCGAATAAGATTTCTTCGATATTTGATTTCAAAATAAATAATTTATAAAATAGTGAAAATAAAATGGTGCATAAATTCATCACTTAAATATTTTTTTCTTTTGTTTTATTTTTGTTAATTACGGTATATTTACTATTTATTATCCTATTAGACAACACTATAATAAATAAGAACAATAAGAAATAATAAACAATATGGCGTATTTCAAATACAAAAAAAAAAAACTTAAAATATTTAGGACTCCCACCCACCCATTCAATATTTTACAAAAATTCTTTCGAAGCAAAAAAAAAAAAAATTAAAAATAAATTAAAAAAAAAATATTTTTCTTTGTTAAATTTTTTTTTTTAATTTTCTCTTAAAAGGAAAAATAAAATATTTTGAAGGAAAATTTTTCACTTGATTAAATTTTTTTTTTTGTTTTTTTGTTTTTGAAGTAAAAAACAAAATTGAAATTAAATGTCTGTCAGATAATTTTTTAAGAAGAGAATTACATACAAACTTACATGTATACAAACAAATTTATCACTTCATTAAGTATTTATAATTATAGAAATAGAAAATAAAAAATTAGGGGGAAAAATTTGAGAGAAAAAGTAAAAAGGATATTTAACCTATCCTTTTTTCAAAGAAAATTATTGTGTAAAGAAAACCATGAATTTACGATTTCAATTTTTTAAGATTTGTTTTTTTAATTTTAGATTTTTGAAAATTATTATATAAAGTTTATATATAAATATAACATAACATATGTGCGTTTAAATGAAAAGGACAATAATTGCGATCCTCTTTCAATTTCTGAGAACATTTCTTATGTAATTGATGGTAGTTTTAAAAATTTCAAGGAATATAGAGCAAATTGTACTATTGATAGCCAGATTGTTCGACATTTTAAATTTTTAGGCATATAAAATTCAGGATTCTAAAATCAAATTTCTTCTTTCTAGAAAATAGTGTTCGAAAATCTTAACTTTTGCTAAAAAACAAAATCTAAAAGAAATTTTTAAAAAATATTGAACATATTTGTGAATATTTTAATAAAATTAAAAAAATTTGCATATTTTACGGCGCCATTTTCATATAAAATTAATTTTTACTCGCACACTACGTTAAATACACATTTCACTCTCACCCCACCCCCTTAACATTATTCTTAATACCTTATAGCTATATGAATCTCAACCTTAAAAATATTATTTAAAAATAATTTCACGCACTAATTTCACATTATGCATGCGTACACAGTATGTATGAAAAAGAAATCTTCATCAGAGAGGTTAATATAAATAAGGTTCAGTGAATATTTATGTAATGTGTACATGTGTATATGGAAAAATTTGCTGGGGTTATTATAATTATAAATATTTATAATATGCGTATAATATATATATTGTAATTCACATATAAACTGACATTTATTAGCTTAATTTTTTCCCTCAATTTTTACCGACCGTATTGTGTAAACAAGGTAGGTTATGTGATGGCAACAAATTTTGCATATCGAGTTTTCGGTGGGAACGTACTTCTCCATAGTAGGGAAGTGTAAATAAACTATTTTTAGCAACCTGTCGGTCTGTGGGTCTGTCGGTCTGTCGGTCTGTCCGTCTGTTGGTCTGTCGGTCTGTGTGTGCACGCGTGTATCTCAAGTTCGGCTAAACCGATTTTGATGAAATTTTATATGTAAGTTTATTTCCAAGATGGCACGGATCGATCAACTTTTGGTATATATCAGGCCTCGGGAACTGCACTTTTTAGCGGGCCTGTTTTACATTTTTGAGCATATTGAAGAACATATTCAACCGATTTACTTGAAATTTCATATATAAGTTTTGCTCTACCGGCGATGAAACCTCCTAGCTTTTGGAAGAAATCAGGCGTCAGCAACTGGACGTTTACTACGGGCTAAATATACATTTTTGTGTATATAAAGAGAAATAATCAACCGATTTCATTGAAATTTAATATATAAATTCCTTGTATTAAAACAATGAACATGTAAATTTTTTGGAAAGATCAGGGCTCGAAAACTGATCTGCGGGCCGATTTTACATTTTTCACCATATTTACGGAACGAATTGATGGAGTTTCTTGAAATTTGATATTTGAGTTCTGGTTGTTACCGAAATTAACTGGCGAGCATTTCAGGGAATTCGGGTAGCACAAAGAGAAACTCTACTAAGAGCCAAATTTACATTTTTCTAGGTATGTTAACTATAAGCTTACTAATGTCCTAAAAATTGGAAAGAAGTATTTAACAGACATTTTTATAATATTCTGTAACACTTTCACTTAACTAGACAATACACATTGCGGTCGGTTATGTGCTGACCACATCATATTTTTTTTTATTTTCTTTGTACTTGACAATCATAAAGTAAGCATAAAAAAAATTATTTTTAAAAAAATATCCTTAAGTTATTTTGTTCCAGAATTTTGCGTTTTATATGAGGTTTACAATTTTTGGTAAATTGTGCAAAAGGTGTTTTAGGTGTATTTGAAAAATTAAATAAATTTTTTTTTTTTTAAATTTTATATTGAAAATAATTAATTTATTTTTAATAATAATGTCCTTCTGAAGAGAATACTCTTACGTATAAGAAAATATTATTAGTATTACTGAAAATGTTGACTTGATGGAGTATACCATGCCGAAAACAGAATATTGTTTTTTTTGATATTTTGACTGTTTCAGCGAGAAGCTCTTAACGAATGAGCAAATATTTTTGTAGGTGTTCAACAATACCTACTATACCTATTATATTTTTACGGTCAACTAAAATATTTAAAGGCTAAAATTCAAGAATCCCACTTATATGTATACCTACAATTCTCACTGTATATGAAAACATCTAGAATATTGCGGTCATAGTTTTCATAAATTTTCAATATCGCAATATTCCAATTTAGGCAGGGCTTTTGAGAAAATATTTATAATTTCATTTTAAATCAAGTGTACAAAACTATACAAATATTTATTGTAATATAATTTCATATTTTAATATATAAAAATATATATAATAATACCCACAACCAAACAAATAATAAAAATAATTAATAAAAATTATTCAATTTCTATTTATAAAATTCAATATCGTAAATTTTCCATAATTATAAAAATGATAATTAAAAAGAGGAGAGTACAAGTAGAATTATAGATAAAAAGAAGCTATATTTAAAATTATAAAATTTTTTAGCGTAATTTAAAAAACAATTATATATATAATATAATTGTATATATATATACACAATTAACCTTACCTTGCTGAAACAATAATCGGTTGTTCTCCATCATGTATTCCCAATAGGGCAGTATCCATTGAACTGCCATTAAAATTATTTGTATTATTATTTGTATTACCGACAACTTGACCGATTGCACGTTTTACTGATTCAAATACAGATGGTGGTCCATTTGGTTCTGTTGTTGCATTATATACACTTTTTGGGCCAACATTACCCAATGATACATAACCACCTTCAGATTTTTGTGGCATTTTTATCTACTCGTAATTCTGTTTTCTTTTTTTAACTTAAATTTTTTGTTGTGTAAATTTTTTTTTTTATTTTTTTTTGACGCGAATATTTTTAATTTTAAATTTTTTGAATATTAATTTTAAATGCTTGTATATTATATGGAAATAAATTTATTATATAAATTTTATTTGGAAACTATATTTGACTTATATATTGTTCATGTTGCATGTACATAAGTATATATACGTGAATTTTAAATGAGAAATCTATAGGTAAAACTCAGAATAATTACAAAGTGGTATAACAAATTATTTTTTGATATACTTTGATATAATTGTATATCAAATAGTATAGAAAAGAGATCAGCTGTTATATTGTGGTTTTATTCTTGTATAACCTAATATTTTCAATTATTTATATGGTTTTATTGTATATGGGAGTAAATTATTTTATATAACATTTAGTATTTAATAAAAAATGACAGACATTAAAATATAAAAAAAAAAATATTTTATATTTTTGTAAATTTGAATAGAAAATGGCAAGGCAGGCAATAAAATTTTTTTGTTGATGCATAATGCACAGAAATGTGTGAATGTTTTTTAATTATTAATTTGGCGAATTTTTTATATATATAAATATACATATAGATTTTGATAGATTTTTTTAACATATTGAGAGTGCAAACAAATTCGAATAATAAATTGTAAAGTGTAAAATTAAATTAATTTTTTTTTGTATTGAGAATTTTTTTATTTTAAAATCGAATTGTGATTTATTTTTGATTTTTTACAATAAATTCAATAATTTTGTTAATAATATGAAGAGTATATATTTTACAGATTGCAACAATTATGATTTTGCAATTTTATTTGTTCAAAATTAGAAAACAATGCGTGATATTTTCAATTTTTTTTTAAATTATTGCAGCAGCATTCATTTAGTTTTATTCAATTTGTTGTATTTTGCAATTAATATTTTGTATTTGAATATTTTTTTTTTTTTTTTGAAAACGTAATACAAAAAAATTTTTCCATATTTTCGAAAAAAAAACAACGAAATGAAAGAAAAAAAAAAGAAAAAAAAAGAAAATTATATAATAAGAATTAAAGTAAATATTATGGTTTTTTTTTTTATTGTTCATTTTTTTAAAATCAAGAAAATTAATAAAAATAGAAAAATAAAATGAAAAATTTAAAACAAATACCAAAATATAAAATTAATTTTGAATTTAGAAACAATGAAATTTTTTTGTAATGAATTTTTTTTAATAGAGAAAAGCTTAGAATCAATGTGAAAGAAAGAAAAATTAATTTTTGTTTTTTTTTTTTTTGTAAATTTCAATAATTATTGTGAATAATTAATTATAAAATGTGTGTATAATATGCAATTGCAATGAAAATTTTAATAATTAAATTTTTGAAATGACAAATTTTTAATTCTAAAATTGTGATTTTTATTTAATAGAAAAAAAGAAAAAACAGAAAAAGAAAAACCACCATAACCACAATAAATATTTTATACACTATAGTAATAAATTAAGCTTATTTTTTTTTCATGTTTTTGTTATTTCAACCAAAATGATAATATTAAATAAAATGATTGACGTTCTTTTAATTTGTAGCAAAACTATAATAATATTCTTTTTTTTATTGTATTTTATAGCAAACTTATTTTAATACCTTCACCATAATAATAATGTGTATACAAGTAAATATGAAGAAAATTTTCAAAATTAGATATAAAATTATTTAAATGTATTTAATAACTAATCGTTAGTTTCAAAAAATTTAGGTAAAAATTCATTAGCACAATTTACTTCAAGAATTTTTTTTTTCAATAAATTGCGTGTATAACAGTTTGTATAACAGTTTGTATAACAGTTTTGTGGAAAAGTCTAAAAGATAATATACAATATTTAATTTTAAAAAACGGTTTGTATAACAGTTCATATAACTGTTATACATAGCATGTTTATAAAAAAACCCGTCTATAAAAATCTAAATTTTGTAAATATTTCAAAATATTAGCAATTACAAAAATATTAATATTTTGTAAAAATTTCTCTAATAATTTTTATAAGTACTCGTATGTAGCTGTGTTATACTATATTACTTATACGTGTATATTAAAGAATTTTGAATAATTTTATAAAAATATTTTCTTGAAATTTTATAAAATATTTTTTTAAATTTCAAATGCGTAGCAGTGTATAAAAATGTACATAATAATATTATACATGAATGTATATGTATAACAGTATTGATAAATATATTTATAATGGAAAAATTCTATTATATTATTAAAGTTAACAAATTTTCTATAATATTTTTTGTATAAAATTAAATTATATTATTTTAAAATCATATAATATTAACAGTATAACAATTTAGTAAATTTTTTTACATTTAAAGAACGCAATATACATATATAATAAGTATGACAAAGTCTTAATATATAATAAAGTTCTTTAATACTTTATAAATACTTTAAGACTTTTTAATATCCTTTATTTTGTGTTTCTAAAAAGACAACAATAATTTAAAATTATTATCTAATTTTTTCTCGAAAATATTCAATAAAATTTTTTGAAGATCTTTGAATATAAAATAAAATAGTTTTGAAAACTTTTTAATGTATAAAGTAACAATTATTAACTTTTATTTTGTGTACATACCATACATATACTCGTACATAAAATATTAGAATTTAGAAAAACATAAAATTTAATAATATTAAAATTCAAATAATTGATTGTTATAAAATATAAAAGGATAAAATGAAAATTTGTTTTATAATATTCTTTTAAATTTTTATTGTTATATATAGAATTATAATTAAATTCAAGAGGAAATTAATTTTAATAAATTTTTTACTTTAACAATATAAAACATAAAGATGAAAGATATATAGCAAAATTTAGATCTATAATGTTATACTATGCGTAGCTTTTGTTTTATATGTCTTTAAGTTACATATAATTTCAGTATTGTTATACCAACATAATATAATGCTTATCTTGAAACAATGTCAAAGAAAGAGCATTTTGTTTTTTAATATTATAGAGAAAAATATTTAAGAGAATGTCAAATATTATATAAGTATAAAACAAATGGTATATATATATATAGGTATACAGAGTATAGTGTACACACATATTGGGTGTGTGCTTCTTTTACATGTAACAAACAATAAAAGATGCCTCTTTTTTTTTTGTGTCCCCTTTTTTTTCTGTTGTCTGGTTCATATTCAAAATATAGTACATTGTGAATGACACGTGCCATTACATGTGATATTTTTTATCTTCTTCTTCTTTTCTATTATATTTTGAAGTGTAATATTAAATATTATACAAGATAAAAAAAAAATAAAGAAAGGATCCTTTTTCAAAATAGGATAATACTTTTCATAATTTTATTTTTCTTATTATTTTTTTTCTAAATTTTGTATAGGATAGGAGTTACATATGTTCATAGATAAGAGACAATAACTTTAATATTATACAATATGAAATTTATGAAAAAAAAATTTTTTTTTTAGTTTTTTGATTTCTAAATCATTTTTCCTCTAAAAGATATGTGTTATATAAAAATTATATGTAAAAAATAAAAGTTTTTTTTTTTATTTTCTTGAAATAGGACAAAAGTTTAATTCTTATCAATGCTTAATAGTAAGGGTGTATAATATGGAAAGGACATAAAAGTTTAGTATAACAGTTTTGTATATGACAAAACTATTTAGTCAACTACAACAATATTTGTTGTTAATCACAAAATTAGACGAAGTTCTTAATGTGACTCACTTTATAGAGTTTTACTCAACCTTTTAGAATAGAAATAGGAAATATTTTTTTTAATATAGAATAGAAAATTAACTTGAAAACAGACAATTCTAAAAGTATTATAAATTTTCTTTACACAACTGGATTTGGAAAAGTTTTGTATAACAGTTATAACAGTTATAACAGTTATTATATGTTATTCTGTATAACAGTTATAACAGTCTTTACATACATATTAGTACATAAGGTATTGTATTTCATTTGCAATTTAAATTATAAAACTCACTTTTAAACTAGAATAAATTTTACCCTATTATAATCAAAAATCTTAAGTATATAGCCCAATTAATCGAAAGAAGAAGTCTTTCATTTATAAAATAATATTATACACTTATATAAGAATTTATTTCTTCGGTTTTTTTATTCAAAGTACTCTTCAGTGCTCTATAAAAATATTTATTTTCCTAAATTAATCACATTAAATCAAAAAAAAAAATTTAATTTTTAAGTTAATGTAATAAGAAATTTTTATATCCTGAAAATGGTATATTCCTTGTATAAAAATAAACTTTATTAGAACACAAACTATTTAATTATTGTAGTATAATAGCTATACTACTTTATATTTTCCTGTTGTTGCTCTACTACTGCTACTATTATATATACTATTGTTATTATTATATAATATTATATACATATATTATTTTTTTTACACTATCATTGTAAATTTAAAATATTTCAATATTTTTCTTGCTCTTCTCCACAGCTATTCAATGATAATGACTATAAGATTTTTTTATAATTTTTCCTTAAACTTATTATATATATTTTTTGTTATACTACATTATGCTTTATTTTACTACAAAATATAAAAGTTAAATATTTTAATTGTATATATAAAAATATAAAATATACTTTTAATAATATACTTTGTATTATTATATTTTGTAGGTTATAATGAAAATATACATACTTAATATAATTTATTTTAACGAAAGTTATTGTTATACAGAAATATATTTAAGTATTTATATAAATATAATATTCATATGATACACTTGATATAATAGAATGGATATTAAATTTAAAACAAAAAAAAAAGTAACTATAGGAGATAGAAAGAACTAACTTTTAGGGACCATCATCATTATATGGGACCATAATATTATTTAACAAAAGCATAAAATTATTTACACGTCTATATGGTACATCCCATACTACGAGTAATATCAGACGTAATTACTAAGAGAGAATAAGAAATTATGAAAATTAAAACTAAAGTAAATTTTGGAAAAATTTAAACGGCTTAAACGTAAATCGAATTTTGATTGACATTTTTTATTAAATAATTAAAATTCGGTTCGGTTAAGTTTCTATAATATAACACTTTTCACAATTTTAGTCAGAATTTCGAAAGAATAGTGTATTTTCTCAAAAAATAATTTCGTATATTTTTTTTTTCCAGTATGGTATTTTTGTCATTTTGATTTGACCATTTTAACATTTTCTCAATTGTACTAAAAATTTTTTCGAACATAAAATTTGATTTTGAAAAATTTCTGCTCCAATACAATTTTTTTTATTAATTGAATTGTTTGCCTTCATTTTGTGCCAGC